AGAGAGAGAGAGATGATACAATGAATCATGTATACATGTATGTACATGTACTGTACATGTACATACCCGATACAGGGAGTTTATTTGTTGCAAAGTTGATCTGAGTTTTTCCTGCGGGTCAATACGAAAGCCAAGCACATATCCTCCAGTCTGCATGAATAGATGTATATTAATAAAACTACATTGTCACTAACATCTTTATGAGTCTCCAAGACAAGAGCCAGACCAAATTTTGACTCTCTCATCTTGATGCTAATCTAGAAAATGTGTAGCACAAGTAAAGGAGCAAATTAAAAAGGGAGAGAAGAATAAAAGGAAGAGACAAAAACAAAAAGGGGCAAAAGGAGATACTGTATGCACCATATATTTCGCGGGTATAAAATTTCGCGATTTGGCTGCATTTTTTATTCACGAACAAAAATTTCACAATTTTAATGTAATCACCACAACTACTATACAATCAGCATGTGCACGCAATTCTGCAGATTTTAATTTTGGGAATTTTTCCAAAAAGTGAAAATCGCAAAATTTAATCCCCACAAAATATATGGTGTATACGGTACCAAATGCAACCAAACTAACTAATTTACTAACCAAATGCAAGTAGGGTACACTGATGTTAAAAGCCTCGTTTGTATTTGCATGCCATGCCACACGAACATTTGTGATGTACATTGTACCAAGTGTACCTTGGCTGCTACACAAGTTCATCACTCCATTTATCTGTATGATTATAAAATGGATGAGATGTTACATAAACAATTAGCCATGTGATAATAATAAATAAAAAACTGACTTTGTCATAAACTTGCTCAAGAGGTAAAACTTTTAGTGTTTGATTATCAATGATAGCTCCCCTTAACTTTATTTCACGATACAACTTCGATGTCTCGTATGACCTGAATCAAAAGTTAAAGTGAGACAGTTAAAAGGAAATAATAATACCTATGGACTGCTAGTATCAGAGCAAAGAGTTTTGGTGTGTCAGAAACCTGCTCAAATATGAACATCATTGTCATTTGAAATAGCAGCCTCTTACAAGATTTGTGAAAATGAATTCAAATTGGGTTTTCTTGCACTTAGTGAGAATGTAAACAGACTCAGTTTGACCTCTTAGTTTCTGGGGAAAGAGACATAGGGAGGAGGGAGAGAGTAAATTCTAAGTGTTAAGGATATGAAGAATGACTGACTGAAGTGGCTTTCCTTGCTTTAATCTGAAAAATACACATTAAACCAATTGCTACAAAAGGAAAATAAAAAAAAAAAGGTTAAAATACAAATTTTCACACTGTCATGTTAGTAACACGTATGCAATTGCAAGAGTCTCACAGTCACATCCTTACAAAGATTAACTGATGGCTTTGCAGTGGATCTCCAAATGATTCTCAAATTAGTCACAGTCAGTTTTCCTATCAATAATACAGGTACATCAAGTGTTATAAATAATAAATTTTGAATCGTCTCAAGCTTTTTGCACATAAAAACATTAATATGCATGCATGTAACTACAGTATGTATCAAAAAAATTATTTAAAAATAAGAGATGATTAATAAGTGCAGAGGTATTTAAACAAGCTTTCAAGTCCTACATGTACATGTGTAACTAAAAGATTTTAGACCAAATCAGCTCCAACTTTCTACATAGCATAAGGACATCAATATGCATCAGAAAATGTAATAAAAATTGAGGGTGATTTCAGAGCCATCTT